AACTCTGTTGGCATTTTGATAGATACAACAGAAAATAGAAAATTAACAAATAGCAAAATAAGTAAAAGGAAAATATTATAAATAGAAAACATTGGCCCCGAGGTCTCATGTTATAGTACTAGAGTTCCAAATTTCATAGAATCATGATACGAGAAAATTTGTTAGATATTTTCGTGCCCATTATTTGATAAAGTATATAAATCTTTAAATTAAAATGTTATGTGTGACTGTCAAGTATTTAGTCTTTGTTTGAAAATTGTAATGTCGAAAAAAAAATTTTGGAAAATAAAAAATACTTAAGTTAACTATTATCAAAATTTTGCAGTGTTAAAATATTTCCCATACTCCGGAATTGTTATGTTCAAAAATTTTTGGCAAATAAAAAATACGTAACTATATATATTATCAAAATTTTGCAGTGGGAAAATATTTCACATACTCCGGAATAAGATCCCAGCAATACTTGGAAATGAAGATATTTCAAGTAAAAAAGAGATTTATGACAGTAACAAAATGTTATAAAACGCCAAACGGATAAAACGGTTAAAAGCTCATTAGAGCTTATGTTGACTCTGTTTGTATACTTTGCCGACTCTAAATAAAGCTTATTTATTATTTTTCATTTATTTATTATTCAGGGCCGTAACTACATGGAGGCAAATGAGGCAAATGCCTCATGTTCGAAATTTCAAAAAAAAAAATTCGAAACAAAAGCTTGTCCTCATATCAAATTGTTTTCACGGCGAGTGTCTTGCAAGAAGCAACTGAGTTCTCTTCACTCTCTGATGTCGCCCCTGCATGTTTTTCGTGATCCATGTTTCTAATTTACTTTTAGTTTTCAGTGTTGATGGTCTATTGTTTGTAGTTATGTGTCTTATCTGTACCCGGGTTTGTCGTTTGTTCATTTATTGTCCTACTTTATGACTATAGTCTAAGTGTTGATTTTCTTTTGTAAATCTAGTAATTTTGTTTTAAACTTAGTTTTCTTATACTGAAGGACCTTTGTCTAATTAAAAAAACTACATTAAATTGTAAGAATATTTGAAATTAGATCTACGATGACGGGTGAACGGTTGTGTGGTTTGGCAATGTTGCATGTCCACCGATGTCCAGATATTGTGCGAGAAAATATTTTAAGAAGATACGATACCACTGGACACAGAAAAATTGGTCGTTTCTTCCTGGAGAATTGAACTTAATATTAAAGAATACAGAACTGGCTCTCTTTTTTGTAGATAAAACTAGATAGCTGACATGGGTTAAATTAAAGTGAGACCACCAATCTCCCGGTATCAAAACATTTGAGAAAAAAACAACAATGTATTACCATATGACCTTTTACATTAAAGGGTTATACTTGCATTAAGTCGTGTTCAGACCCATTTATAGAAAATAAAGGAATATGGAGTAAACGTGCACAGGACTTAATCGCACAAAAAGTCAATACATAGAAAAAATACAAATTATAAATTGTCAGGGTTTTTATTCCTGTTCTTCATCTTGATAGTCGCTGGAGGGTCTTCAACTATGAAAGAATCATTAATACCATAAAACAAGGTCAAGATGGTACCTAGTGTTGACTTAAGCGGTACTTAAAGTATAATACTGCACTGTCACTATATTTAAATTCAGTCATAAAAAAGTCTAAACACAATACAAGACAAGAACAGACAGATCCGGTATTAATGATTATAAGAATTACGATTTTTGCTTTATCCTACATATCGGTCTTTTGATGTTGTCCCTTAAACCTAAAAGTCTTAAATTACAATGAATCTATATATTTTGCTTTGAGACCAGAATATTGTCGAAAAAAATAGCTAAAAATTAATTGCGTTTCAGAGTAAGAAAGAGTCCGGGAAACGTTCAGAATGCACGATTTTGCGTCATTTTTTTCAGAGCCTCTGGGGGCCTTCAGCCCCCAGACCCCTCGCCGATAATTTTTCGCCTCCCTTTGCTCGGCGAATATATTTTGCCTCACTTTTAAAAGAGGCTAGTTACGGCCCTGTTATTTTATATAGCGTGCAGATGAACCCCGATGCCGTTATACTAGAGCATACTATACGGGTTTTACTTGTTTTTGAAAGCCGAAAGGTGACATGCAGTTTACATCGCTATCCTTTGTTTACGGTTAAACATTGCGTCATTGGCAAAATATTTTCATATATCATACTAATACATCTAAAAGACATCTTTTGATATATTCAACCAGTATTTAAATGAAAATAGGGTGCGAACGGATCCAAGGGGCGAACGTGTAGGGTGAGAATGTGTTTTTGGAGCGAACGCACCAGATACCGTCGTACAAGTCAATATTTATATTTTCTTTTTTTTTAATGTTATGCTTTAATATATCATGTATAATTCTGTCCTTTTTACGTGAAAAATGAACAAACCACTCTGTAGTCCTGACCGTACGTATTTCCCTGTTTTGTGGCTTTTGTAGAACGTTTTGCATGGTTTGTTGACATCGGGAAAGGGTGCTTTCATACACGCCCGCGTTCCAATGTCGTCAAAACTATTTTTGAGAAAACCCCTCAAGGCGACCGTTTCCAAGGCGCTCGCCGTTAGTAACATGCGTTAAAATATGCGCACTGTTAAAGGGCCGAGCCACCTTAAGTTTACTTTAGATGCAATGTTTTAATAAGGAAAAAGAGACTATACTTGATAATATAAATGTTCAAGGTATGCTACTGATTTTGACGTATCAAAAACGCTCAAACACTTGTGATCAAATTTTGGGAGGAAAATCGTGCTCCAGTGTTATATTGTTCAATGGTTTAATGGGTACCCAATTTAAACAAAAACAACCGTAACGGTTAATGTTGATGCTTGTTTTATTTCTTTATGCCTATAGCTCTTTAATTTCTCCACATCACGATTCGTAGCTATTTATGTATTAGATACAATACAAAGGTAACAAAGAAACAGGCCGGTAACAACCGTTGCCGGATAGTTTTTCTGCACGAGTAGTCAGGTCAAGGTCCGAGGCGATAGCCGAGGATCTTGACCTGACTACAAGTGCAGACAAACTATACGGCAGGTTGTTTCCGGCCTGTTTTTAGTTACCTTTGTTTTGTATCTGACTTGTACGACGTTTCAAGAAGGAAGGAGTACATTTTGCATTAAGAAGAGGTAGCAAAACTAAAGATATTAGAAACTTAAATGGCCATATACCAGTTAATGTAAGTTACAGTTTGAACTCAATTTTTTTTATCACTTCCCTTCAGCCGTAAGTTTTTTCTCAAAAAATTCAAGAATCTAATAACTTTATAAAAAGAACCATTTCAAGTTAAAGGTAAATGTTATACACATTTGAGACTTTTCGAGATGCAACTTCGCAAGTAAGTAATGTATAAAAAAAGATTTCAGAGTTAAGCAAGCTACCATTTGATTTTTATTTGGGGAAAAAGGGGGGGGGGGGGGGTTAAAATAAATTTGAAATAAACAGGCTTCATCCTTTTTTTGTTGAAAGAATGCAGGATGTGTCATTCGAGGCCCCCCCCCCCCCCCATTCCCCCTAAAAAAATCGTAAAAATCGTACGTTTGCCGCCAAATATGTGAATTCAATATACATTGTATATGAATTCAATAAAAATATAAGTGTATCAGAAGAATGAATTTCATATCTCATTAGTGAATGAAATGTTATGAAAAAATGAATTTTGTCTTGTTATTAGATATACATATATAGGCATATATTTTGGATTAAAAAAATGTTCATGCTTATAGGTTTTGAAATGTCTCTGATAGTGTTGATCAGGATTAAACACGTGTCATTATATGATCCAATCAGAGCTTACCGTCCAAAATTGATGACATAAGTTGAATGATTTTCTTCAAGATTTGCTGCCTATTTGAACATGTATTACACGGACACTTTTTATTTATAGGATCAATCGTACATTGGTGAGTTGATAGGGATTTTATCTTTTGATTAGATTTGATTTTTTTATATATATTTCCTGTCTTTTTTATTGAAACATAAACGTTGGTACCAGCATTTCTTTCAGCATTGTCCAGAATACTATTCATGTCTATATATTGAAAAAAAAAACATTTACGGACCGACCATTTAGCTTCAAAAGGGGGTGTGTTCTTTTCTGAGTAAGAAAATTATTTGGTTTTTCAACTATATAATATATTATATATTTTTTCTCATAAAATTGGGGATCAAAATGTTTTTTTTTTAGGAAAAAACCATAACCCACCTTTTGAAGTTAAATGGTCAATCCCTTAGTGTACTAATATGAATAGTTACTGGAATTGTTTGAAAAAAAAATATCGTTATTGATGCTAGCGTAAATATTTTAATTAAAAAGACAGGAAATATGTCGGTGAAACAAAAAGTTCAAATCTAATTGAAATTTAAAGTGCCCATGAACTCATCGATCATGCACGAATGATTCTATTCATAAAAAGTGTCCGTGTAACAACTAAAAAGTGTCCGTGTATCATCTAAAAAGTGTCCGTGTAACACCCGTTAATGTACTGTTTTTCTATAGCTCTGCTGGGGGCAAAGTCGAACAAATTTGCATACGCTATATACGCCATCTAGAAATTAATACTTAACAACAGTAATTTCTGATTGGTTTCACTATGATTTATCTATCTCATTACTTAACATTAGTTTGTTAATAAATAACGAGGCATTGCACTAAAGAAGCAACGTACAGGAGGCTACTCCTTCTCCTGAATTAACCAACGTTTTAACATATTGAATAACAAATGAAGAATGACAAACGAATGAATTAAAACTGAAATCAGTTCAGTAACAAATGAGTAATGCCGGTACTCTTACTTCAAAAAGTTAACCCGACCACTATTCACGCATTTACTTTTAATACAGTTATAACTGTTGATCCATTTTTTTTTAATTTTATTTTCGGAAAAAAATCGGGAAAATAAATACCCGCGAACTTGTTTGAAATACACAATTCCCGAAAATAGATACCCGCGAAAATAAGTACAATTACAGTATTTAGTTGGGTTAATTTCAGATGTGACAGTATAAATGGGACCTGTATTCCATTGACCTCAACAATTGGAACATTCAGTGAACCTTCGACTGTTATGCGTAAGCAGTATTTACATATGACTCAGTAGATAAATAATAAATACACACTGTCTAAAAAGTCTTTTCAAATATCAGTTTTTGGAATGTTTATGCAAGCTATGATAATGAGCAGTAATAAGTTGCACCGTAGTTTCTAATGTTAAAATGTGCATTGTTTCATTTTTACAGCGTACAATAAATCTAAAATGGGAATGATCCTTTGAGATGTCCTAAGCAGATAACGACTGCATTTTAGTGTGTTAATTGACACCTATAATCAGAGGGCGAATAAATAAAATATCTAAAAAAAGACTGGTGGGGACATTTTCCTGTTAGAATTATGCATTTCAAACATGACTTTACTTACTTTCAAGTTGATATTTCTCAGTTAAATGTTGACATTCGTCACTTTCATCTTGTAATTTTATAGTTGCTAGTCGTCATTTCTAATTATTCAAAGTAGATTTACCAGAGTTGATACCAGATGCAGATATTAAAGAAGTGATTGCTTTTTTTTTTATAATTTTATAGGGTTTTAAAAGCGCTTCATATTAAAAATGTGCTCGCGATCAACGCTTTTACAACCCTGTAAAATTATAAAAAGAAACAATTAATTCCTATAATTACAGCTTTATGCTACAACCATGAAATTAAGAGTTATGTCAAGCTTTTCGTTTGGTTTTCAATGCATTATTTTAACACGCGAAGGTACAGCACGTGTATTTTATACAGAAATAAAATATGATATTGGAGTGCCTCGCGATAGTGGTTGGCCAATCGAATTTACGGATTCTAATGAATCATACATGTAAGTAAGTAAGTAAGTAAGTAAATTTTATTTAGAGTCGGGCATGATATGTACAACTCAACAAGGTAAACATGAGCTCTGTAGATCTCTTAAACGATTTGATATTTAAAATCAAATAACAAATTATAAGCACCTTTGACAAACTACACATACAAATACAAACACATGCATAATATAATAGCTAAGCAAACATGCATAAATCAAAGCAAGCAAGCTAAAAAGAAAAGAAAAGCACTTTTTGCTTTAACTGTCGCAAAGACAAAAGCTAAGCAAATAAATAAAACAAAAGCAAACAATAAACAATAAACAGAACACAGGGCCAGAAGATTCCAGCTGTGAGACAGCAAAGTTATTGCCTACATGAGCTACAGAAGCAGTTTTCTGAAAAAACACCATGCTAAAATAAAATGTTTGAACTGTTTCAAAGTTGAGAGGCTCCTTGCATGGTTAGGCAGGGAGTTCCACAATATTGCTGCCTCAAAGCTACAACTCCTTTTGCCATACCTTGTAGTTCTAGGTTGTGGTAAATCAACAGTGAGTTTATATCTAAAATTATATGAGTTATCTTTAAAATTTTATATATTGTGTAAGAACTCTGGACTGGATTTTGTCAAAATTTTGTAGGTTTCTAATGCCATGGTTCTCATGTGTCTGATTTTAAGCGTTGGTAGTTTAGATTGTTCTAGTAATTGAGTTATTGTAGTCATTGTTGATGAATCTGAGCGCTCGTTCTTGCAGTTTTTCAATTTTTTTGGTGTTGCGCTCGCTACAAAAATGCCATGTGAGTGGACAGTAACTTAGGTTTGACATGATGAAAGAATGGTAAATTGTCATTTTTGCCAGTTTGTTCAAGTGTGATCCAATTCTTTTCAGAACGTTTAACTGTCTGGCTGCTTTTTTGCAGATGTTAGATATGTGTTGATTAAAGTTGAGCTTAAAATCAATGGTTACTCCAATTATCTTTACTTCATCATCGCATTTGATGTTGTTTCCATTTAAGTTGAAGACTATGTTGTTTTTATGTGTTTTGTTACCAATCGCTATGGCTTGAAATTTTTCTGGATTAGCCTGCATTTTATTTTGTGAGAACCATGAAATTAGTGAACCACTGTCTTCCTCCAAGGATTTAATAACTAATGCCAAAGAAGAACCAGATTTTGAACGAGTATTGTCATCTGCATAATTATACAAGTCACAGTTTTTTACAAAGAGAAAAATATCGTTTATAAAAATATTAAATAAAATTGGGCCTAGTATAGAGCCCTGTGGTACCCCTTAATAAATGTCAAGCATTTGACTAATACTTTGACCAATTTTGACACATTGTTTTCTACCAGTCAGGTAACTATCTAGTAATTGGAGCGCAGATTCACTCAGACCATAGTGTTTCAACTTCATGAGTAACAAATCATGAGGTAAGCAGTCGAAAGCTTGACTAAGGTCCATTAAAGTTGCTGTAGGTATTTGTCATTGTTTAAGGGTTTCTTCCAGTCCTCGATTATCCTTATTAAAGTGGACTGACAGCCAAAACCTGCTCTAAATGCTGCAAGAAATGAATTAAAAATATTTTTGAAATGTTCCGAAAGTTGCGTCTCTATGGCTGTCTCAAAAATTTTGGATATTGAAGGAAGTACACTCACTGGTCTGTAATTACCCTTTTTAAGTACACTGTTTTTTTATGAATCGATGCCACCTTGGCAATTTTGAGTGAGTCTTGAAAGACTGAGGTAGACAATGACAAATTTACAAGATCAGTTATTGGCTTCGTAACTACAGGTGTAACAATTTTGGTGATATTTCCTTTCTTGACATTTATTTTATTTATTCGTTTCAAAACTAAATTTTCGTTGACTGGTTGAAAATTTAGTGCTGATGATGACAAATCTGTATATTTTGTTTATAATTGCATCAATACTTGGATGGTTTTCATCGATAACGATGTCGTTATCTCCGATGTTCTTCGCTACATTAACAAAGAAATTGTTAAATGTCTCACAAATTTTTTCCTGGTTTGTTTCTATAGCCATGATTTCTTGTAGAATGATGTCTTTGGTGTTGGTACACCCTTTATTCGTAAGAAAGGGGTTAACTGTAGGCCAAAAATCTTTTGCCTTAGGGCCGTTTGAACATCTTTCACTGAAGTAGGTGTTTACAGATTGTTTTTTTAATTTGGTTACAAAATTTCTCTGAGCTCTATAAGCTTCCCAGTTTTTGTTGTTGTTGTATATTTGTACCTTGTTATATAACATTCTCTTTTTATAGACTGCTGACTTCAGCTCTTTATTCATGTAATGTTATCATATATAGATATTCCTTGTTTGAATAAAAAATATAAAAAAGGCCCAATATTTTCTATGCCATTATAAAAAAGAAGATGTGGTATGATTGCCAATGAGACAACTCTTCACAAGAGACCAAATGACACAGAAATTTACAACTATAGGTCACCGTACGGCCTTCAACAATGAGCAAAGCCCATACCGCACAGTCAGCTATAAAAGGCCCCGAAATGACAATGTAAAACAATTCAAACGAGAAAACTAACAGCCTAATTTATGTACAAAAAATGAACGAAAAACAAATATGTAACACATAAACAAACGACAACCACTGAATTACAGGCTCCTGACTTGGGACAGGCACATACATACAGAATGTGGCGGGGTTAAACACGTTAGCGTGATCCCAACCCTCCCCCTAACCTAGGACAGTGGTGTAACAGTACAACATAAGAACGAACTATAAAAGTCAGTTGAAAGAGGCTTAACTCATCAGATGGATAAAAATACAAATAATACAAATACAAGTGGACGTGGCCGGGTACTTGTACATCCAAACAACAAAAAGACACTAAGTACAGATCTGAGTGTACTCGCAGTTACATTTATCTGCTGAAAGTTGATAATTTATGTCCAGGAAGAATATATTAAGTTTGTAAGATTTGTGTTGTGTATGTTATGTGGTAGTCCGATAACTTTGTTTAAATATACTAGATGATTTTCAATAGAGTACCAAAATCAGTCAACAGGAGAAAACGAGAGATTTGGTGCAAACCAGACAATATCTATAGGTGAGAACCACAACAAATATTTAACAATACTAATCAATGTCTTATGAACATACTCACCCCTTCTCGTCCAATGAAAAGTCAGTTTTTTCCCTTCTAATTTTCATAGTACATGGCTTTCCATGCACTATAAAATGCTATACATGAATGACTTTTCATTCTAGGTTAATTATGAAAGTGAACCCTTAATAACTTCACTAACGAATTGTACAATCCCCTAAGGCATTTTCCTTAGGAAAATAGCCTACTGGTTAAAGATGAAAGAGAAAAGAATTATAAAAAACATTTTGAACATTGCAAATCTTTATATTAATGGTACATATATATAACAAACAAAAAATAAAATAAAATGGGACCAAAGATGTAGGTAAAATTATCCTTCATATAATTTTTATACCAGACATTCGAGTCGATTATTTTTTTTCAAGAAAACAATGTCAGCCGACTGCTGATATATAAAGCAAAGGATTTTTTGGAGAGAAAAAAACGCACAATACATGTACATTCATCAATAAAAAGAAAACATCTAATGTTGAATGGTCGTAATTCAAATATTTATAGAGTAAATTTTATAATTATCAAAAAATATTCAAATTTCAGAAAGCGGATTGATATAACATTGTGTGCTAATTAAAATCAAGAAATTTAAGGTATATAAGTATTAAATTTTTACCTGATGTAGAAGAAAAACTCATTAGACAAATGTTTGAACAATTTATCCTTTTTGTCCTCACAAACTATGTCAGTGCTATCTCATTCCATCCATTTTAATAGTCATTACCTGTTATATACTCACTTCATTATAAAAAAGTGAATTCTTATTTAGTTTTGAATATTACAATGGGAAAGGATAATTTTGTAAGATCACTCGAAAGTGTGAATATGTTCTAAATTGGTCAGACAATACTTGGTCATGTTTAATGAAGATTTAAAACCCTCGGCTACGCTTGGGCTTTCAATCTTCATAAAACATGACCAAGTATTGTCTAACCTATAAATAAAGGATAGTTATCAGTGGATATTGACTTAATTCCTTTACACTGGTTCATGCTTAAGTCCGACAATTAAAAATGACGTCATACTGGGCAAATTGAAACACACGTGGAAGACTTTTGTATCCCCTCTATCAGTCAGGCATGCTACTTAAACAAGTAACTTTTTAAGTTACTTATATAGGAAATATTTGTTTTTAAAAATATAAAATTACTCACTAGAGTTATTTTAAATTCCAATAGAAGCATGGACTAAATGTAGTTTTCATGATTTTTTACACCATTTTATATCATAAAATAATTAAGAATTTATTAGATTTGAGAGGAGTATAGACATACAAGGTTACTTTAAAAATAATGACAAAAATGTTACTTGAATAAGTTATTTTATACATCTTTGAAAGAATTAGTAATAACACTTATTTAAGGCACATATGTAATTGTTTTTGGTTACAAATTATAAATAACTTCAAGTCTTAATTAAATCACAAGTTTCTATCTATCTATATCTGTCTACCTTCAAGATTTTCGAGGAAAACGATATTTTAATAGTCCCAAGAGGCCAATCTTTGACCCAGAAGCGTCGATTTGAAAGATAAGTGCGTCAGAAAGGCAATTAGTGTTTCAGATGGATTAGATTTTATATTTCATGGGAAAAATAACCAGATGACTGTAAAAATTTGTTAAAACTAGTAAAATCTGTATAATTGGACACCTATAAAAATAATATTTAGAAAAGTTACTTATATGAGTAATTTTTAAAATAGCCTCGTTTTCAACATTACGTGTATAGGTAATTTTAAAAGTTACTTGTTTAAGTAATGCGCCCCTGACTGTCTATGTTGAAAGCCAACTATTTCAATTCAAATATTAACTGATAAATATCTGTTATGATCATACATGTATTTCATTAGATGAGAGTATTGAGACAGTATAAGGCAACAAGACAGGTCTACTTAATGTCACGGTTATGCATACAGCCATGATAAAAGTATAAACATCAAATGACACGCTCAATTTCGATAAGTCGAATCAAGTTACATAGATAAATAATACATAGATCAAACAGCTGATTAATAAGAGCCAGCAACAATTAAAGACAACATGTCTGACTTAATACATACATATCTGCATCTGCCTTGTGTATACAGGTCTGCTAGAAATAAGTTCCGCAATTAAAGGTAGACATGTTGTTTAGCATTTTGTTGACAAATAGGAGTAGATGTATGACACAACAAGTACCAGTTAGCTATAGACGCCAATGGGATTGAAAAAATTGTGTCGTAACTAAAAGTGATGAAATAAGAAATTTGTGTAAAGTAAAGATATATATTGTTCTATTTATTTAACAGAGACAAATGCCCGTGCTTGTAAAATTTAGTTTTTTAAATTAAAACATTCACTCTAAATATCTTGTAAAATTCCTACACTAAATGTATTTTGTTCACACTATACAATGATCAGATGAAATAAGATATAATGAGCAATTATGTAATACGTTATCAAGTGTTCATCTTATTAATATCTATTCAAAACAAATTACTATTTTACTTCGTACAGCAACTACAACCTATGCAATACTTATCTACATGATCTTCGCCGGTCTCATCATAATGGTGTTATGCACAGTTACTGCAGTTTATAAATACCAATATAAGCAAAAGAATATAGCACAAAGTTTTTCAAAACATGGGGCAATAGATTCTACTCCTCCGCCAATTATTGCACGATCAATGCAGCCTAGTGTGTTTATTGAAGTAGACAACAGTGGAGGCGCATATGAATTAATTGATGACAACAACGTTCTTAACCTCGGAAATTAAAAGAAATCCACTGTCATAATGCAATTGTATACTAACACAATGACATGGCATGAAAAAGAAATGGACTAAACTAAACGGCAAAGATTTTATGCATACAATTGTTGCTACGTGCACCTACCTTAGATGTGCAAAAACAATACAGATGAATAGATTCTTTCATTAATTGTACGCATTTTAACTTGTATATATGTACATTTTGTATTTGAAATTGATGAATAGATTAACGATGATCAACGTAAAAGATGATGGATTGGAATTGTGCAGTGTTGATTGCTTGTGGCTGACATTTTGTTTTCTACAGTAATGCCAGTATTTGTTTATTCACTTTTTTTTTTTTTTTTTAAATTAGTATTATTTAGTGTTGTGACAAATTCCATATGGTCATACATGTAATTGTTGATTTTGTTTGTTTGTTTGTTGTCTTTATGACAAATTCCGACCATTTCTTACTACCATATCAACAATATTAAAAAAAAAACAATCAGCAATGTTATAGATAAGTTTGGAATTACAATGCTACACTCACGGAAAAAAAAACATAAGGCTAAAGTTTTGTGAAACGATACTGATTTAATTTATTATAGGAACACGATAAAATCGAACCGTATATAAAGACAAACATTTCTTGAAACTTATGACTTTGGTCGGTTGTTGTCTTTTCTTCTTCATCGGGATTATCAATAATCACTATACACAGATTTTCTCACATGTCATTTTAGTTTCTCTTATTAAAGTTTAAAATGATTTGCTTTTAATATAACATATTCTGTTATATAAGTATATCCAACATTTCATTTTAAAAGATAGCAAATGTTCAAATAATCGAAAAGATGCATGCACATATCGATGTTTTCTTTTTATAAAAGATTAAGCATTGCAATTTATCACAAAATAATCTTGCGAGAAAAAAATTTTGCACGCTATGAAAACCATTGTCTGTATATTTATAAAACTTCTTACCGTGTTTAAAGCTCATTTTCTCCCTCTAGATTGTTGATTTTGCGGACTGATCAAACTTTGAATCATGCACCCACAGGGTCAAGTCCAGCGATAAGATATTACTTTATTTGGATTCTTTAACTTTTTTAATGAATCGAGCGTCACCGATGAGTCTTTTGTAGACTTCTGGCGTACAAAACTTTTATCCTGGGATCTATGATGATTTAATTGTCTTGGATATACGCTACATGTAGAAAAACAGTGTTGTATCTGTAAACGTCATTGAAACAGCATCAAAACGAAATAATTAACAAAAAAACACAACAACTAAATAAATACAAATACAAGGTGTTCTTTTTGAGATACTGGTAACTAATGATGTGTTTTGTGGTAAATCCAACTGCATTGCATATGTATATTGTGAGCTTTGTGTCTATCCTTTATTAGTTTATATGATAATGCGGATGGTAAACTATTGGTCTATAATTATTCATGACAAGAAAAATGTATCAAACATCTTGTATCAGTTTGAAAAAGAAATACAGAATAATTCATGTCTGAAAAGGTTAGTTTCCTGAAAATTTTGGTTGTCACATACTCACTTAGCATTAAGCGGCTTAGTGTTTGTGTAAAACAAAATGTATATGACCAATTTCAACCTAAGTGTCGCTCAGACCATGTTAATCGTCATAAGGCTTGTCATACAGATTATGTAAAAATATTCAAATATATAACTAGATAGAGAGTGCTATGAATAATAGATCTGGTTACATGTAACACATATTACAAATTATAACTTGTGCATGAATGGGTTTTAATAGGCAAAGTTGAAATATCAAGATTAAGGGTACGGCTTTTCTTTCCTTTTGCATTATTTAGATCTCTAGACGATTCCCGAAAGTACATTTTTGACAAATTTTCTATGAACAAAGTTAATGCACCTATATTTGTAAATTATTACAAACGAAACACTTCAGTAAGTTAAAAACATATTCATTTATGAACTTTTCATGAACATTTATAGCAGGTCTCCCTTATTACGTAGCCGTTGGCTGACCTTTTCCTACCCGTTTTTTTGTTTGTTTTTGTAATGACCTACACTACAAGTCATATATTGTAACATTATATTATTGACAAGAATTCCATGTATTATTTATTATTTATCTAATGTTTAATACTTTTATTCTTTGTATCAATATTCATACAATGTATTAAAGAATAAACTTGTTTCATTTTTAAGTTATTTTGTTTTCTTTATTTGCGTTGAATTTTGAGCCAACATTCCGTAATTCCCATTAAGGTGTTTTGCAATCATAACACATCTTCTCATTTTTATTTTCTAGTCATTTTACTATTTAACATTCACAGGTTTAAATAGCCATTTAAATCAGCTTGAGAATATCTACCCCTTATACATTACATGTGCCCCAAACATTGCACGTACCAACTCGAATGAATGATCCAACGATTAACGTTGTCTAAGCTGCGCTTCTTGCCAAAAATGATATACTCACTTGCTTTCATTTCATTTAAATTAAAAACTAAAATAGCTATCAATACTAATATTTCACAAAATTTTAAAACAAAAATATACTTGTATAATTTTATGACATTAAAATTCAGGTGAGGAAACTGTGTCAACTGTTTCCAAGGTAGTCGCCGGCTTACAGGAAACCAGTTAGTTGTACCTCATGATTCTTAATTACTTTTAAAATGTGCACCTGAATTGATAAAGTTGTACAATTTTTGCTAAATGCTATATTAAGGTATTTAGTTAGCGAAAAAGCTAACATTTTATACAATCGGTTTTCAAATATGTTTTCAGGAAATCGAATTAACATAACCACGTATTGCTTATACCCTACAGGTTGTAAGCTTTGCCGTATATATTTTTTACTATTTTGTAGTTGACAACAAACAAAGATTTACAAATAACAGTTGGCCAAGACTTAATTACCTGTACGTAACAGCTGGTGGAGTCAGTCTGATTATAATTTGTATGTGTACTTCTTTCGTTTTGGTTAAAAAACGGTCCCGAATGTCCACAGCTGTGATAATCATACCACCAGTGAATGCATTAAATAATCCTGTGTCGAACCAAGCAGTTGAAGCAGTCGCACTCAATCTTTTGTATCATGATTATGATGAAATAGACGAGACAGTTTTGAATGACATCCCAGAATTTCGAAATATTCAATTTGAAGAAAGTGATAGCGATTCGACAGATGGTTCCCATGGCAAACAGAGCGAAGACGTCGAAGGATATCTTAATCCATATCACTCGTTAGTTCATCCTCGTAGAAAATGTAAATTCATTACTGTTAAATCAGTAAGAAAGAGTGGTTCACCGTATTCAGATAAAAATCCATACGATTGTCTGATTTTGTCAAAACGTATTGGTTGCCTCACTACAAAATCAATGAGCCATGGTACAATTGTGAAGACCACAGAGAATTGTAATAAACACACCGCTGTCAACAGAGTAACAATTTGAAAACCAGTATACTGAGCACGTGTATTCCCATATAAATGAATACAGCTAGTTTTTTAAGTTTTGATACTTCTCCTTTTTAAACTTTCTTTGATTTTATTTTGACATTTTACTTGAAATGTTATTTTATCAATTGTGCAAACTCTTGCAAACTGTCATTCTTTAATGATTTGACTTGTAAAACATTGTAAGAAAAACTTCACATTTGTCGTGGTTATTGCGTTTTTATACAGATGCGGATTTTTTGCATGTCACTTTACATTTACCTGCCGCATTATTGGATATTGCAACTAATTATATATTGTGCCAGACTTGTGGCCATTAAAAATAGGAATCAAATATCAATGTGGCCTATACATATTGTAAGTCAAAGAAAAGCAGATTACACCTTGACCAACATAAGTATTTATACCAACAGAGGTAAAAAAAAAAACAACCACAGAGAAAACTCAAGTTTGTGCACAATGACCCCTATCAAAAGCCCAGATACTCTGGAAGAGGTGAGTAGTTACTTCAACACCCTACTTTGTGTTTTTTGCACATAACAGCTGATAAATGATATTTGATATTGTCACGAAATTGGTACTCAGGACGTGAAACATATTGTTGGTCATCTTAGACATTTTTTCATAATCGTTAGCCAAATCAAAATGAGTCCGTAAAATCGTCGAGGTTATCGTTTCAATTTTTTCCACTAAAACAATGGATCAAAAGCTTTCTCGTTATTCTAGGAAATCATGAAAGGATAAGCCTTGGAATATGTTATAAACTTTGAGGTATATATTTTTCACTTATCTTCGAGAATTTGTTAATTGGAACATGGGTGTTAATTGCAAATATTTGATAGTTTTCTTTAAGTTTATTCACAACTTTTGTAGAATCGTGATGATTTAGAGCTTGAGATATCGTAGAGACATCTGTTTATTGTCGAAGACTATCTTCTGGTTATGTTGTATCGTTTGGTTGTTGTCGCATTGACGATATATCATATATTTGTTTTATTTAAATTATTCGAAGGTACAGTTGGAATGTTGCACTACTACAATGAAAACTACAATGAAAAGTTATAAATTGAGAAAGTAAAATCATCAACGTATTCTGCATTATGTAAATTGTGTTTTCTGTATTCCTGGTCATAAATTTTAGGAAAAACAATGAAAGTGGGAGAAATGAACTTATTCTGGTCTAAAAGACAAGAAGAAAAAGCACCTTGCGAAATTCTTTAATTTTACTTTTAGATATATTGATGATGTCCTATCATTGAATAACCCGTATTTCAGTCAGTACTTACACCTCATATATCCCAGTGAACATGAAATTAAGGATACTACTGAAACTAGAAGGACTGCTTCATATCTTGATCTTTTCCTCAATATTGACATATATGGACGACTTTACACTAAAATCTATGACAAACGGGATGATTTCAACTTCACAATTATCAATTTCCTATTTCTCAGCAGTAAAATACCCTCTGCCCCATCGTATGGTGTTTAAATATCTAAGTTGATACGTTATGCTAAGCATGTTCACACTATACGGACTTCATAAACAGGAGTGTGCTCCTTACGCAGAAACTGCTCCAACAGAGTTATGAGGAGGAAAGATTAAAAATGACACTCCGTAAATTTTATGGACACCATCAAGAATTGGTTGATCTATACGATGTCTCTGTGTCTAAACTAACTAACGATATGTTTACCATGTCTTAGATTGTGGTTTATCATCTACGTTGTATGGTCTTCTAAGTACCGAATATGACTGTTTTGCTGAGTGTAAATTCGCATTGCTATTAGACGTGTCTCGGTATTTGTACATCTAACATTCATGTATTTAGTTATGATGTTCCATTTACAATTCTGGTTGGATGTTGTTTTATGTCTTATCGTTTCTGGGTTTTATTCTATTTTTATTTTCTATATGTATGTAAAAGTAAAGATACTAATCATCTAGTTCATTTATATGATTTTTAGTTTAAAGCATCTATATGCACAGGATTTATTTGTTTTTTTACACAGTTTGAATTAGAAGAAAAACCGACATGGTAATAAATTACAAATAATTACACCATTACTTACACAATTCTATATTTATATTCTTGTAATGTTTAGAAAATACATCAAATAACACCATTACAAACTTAATCCCAATTTCATATTGTATTTTTAGTAATTTATCTGTGACGTCACTTTTTTTGGCGTTGATACAATCGTTTGACGTACAGTTCATTATTCTATTGTGCTGTATTTGTGTTCTGTCGTAAATTAATTTTAGGTGTTCGTTGTTATTCTGTGGTTTACATGTTGAAATAGACTATTCTATTATTTATTTATGTATTTCTCTGTTCTTAATGTTCTTGCATTTATTTGTACTGTACTATATAAGCGGGAGTTTTGGCTAGCCATAAAACCAGGTTCAACCCACCATTTTTTCTTAAAATGTCCTGTACCAAGTCAGGAATATGTCAGTTGTTATCACATAGTCCGTTTCTATTTATGTTGGCGTTTGTTTTTGTAGCAGTTCACTGTTTCTGTTGTTCCGTTTTGTTTCCTCTTATAGTTGATGTGTTTCCCTCAGTTTTGGTTTGAGACCCGGCCTGGATTGGTTTCAGTTAAATCGATTTATGACTATTGATCAGCGGTATTCTACTATTGCCTTTATTTATAGGTTCAATCAGGTTCATTTCTGAAAACGGTAGTTTTATGAACTTCGCGCATTCGCCCGATCTAATGTTTAAAGCGCCTATGACTATTAACTGGACTGGGACTGGATTGTTTGGGTGAACAGAATGATAGAAATTGCGGCTTTGTATGTCTTTGTCTAGTTTGGAAAACTTTGGATTTACCGATTTGAAACCAAATATCCAAATTAACAGAATAAGAACGCTTGACAGAAACATGAATTCCTATAATGCACGAAACGCATTACAATGACGACTGATTATTTCTCAACAACTTTTTGGAGTATTCCTTAGCTTGCAAACTAGAACAATATGTATCTCTTCTGAATTCATGATATCTGAAAATTGAAAAGTTATTGCAAGCTTTAAATAACTTTATACAAGCCATCATAATCAGCACACACAACAATGCATTCAACAACCGTTCTATTACTGCATCTGGCATAATATTGTTGGGGATGAACATCAATTTTTTAATCAACTTGTTTGAACCATGACAAGTTCAAACTGTTCTCTTTTTATGTCTGTTGTACTACATTAACATGCCATACTGTTTGTTCTGTGCTTTTCACAGTATCATGTCCTCCCGTTCTGTTTTTTGCAAATCTGCATGGCTTTTTTTAAGTGCAGAAAGTCACTTTAGAGGGTTAGACTATCTAATAAAGTTTAAAACTTTGAGATTGCTTCAGTAAATGTCAGTATTTTTTAAACCATATAACTTTGTTTAATTTTGTTTTGTAGATACTTTTATTTTTACAGATATTTGACTCAGAGTGTTTTTCCAGGTATTAATTGTATAGTATGTTAAGATTCTTCTTATTCGACCTTTCTATATAATACAAGGTAAAAGAACGTCTTCAAAAGTTGTCATAACGTAGTGATTTTGTTTTGTGGATAACTTAAAAAAGAGGCTACAGATACCAACGGGATGTTTAAACTCTTTATTCTAAAACAAGCTTACAATGCCACACCAAGAAACAAACAAAAATCAACGAAGAGACAAACAGTACACAAAACACAATATAGAAAACTAGGGATTTTTATAGTAAGTAACACGAACCCAACCGA